AGAAAAAGGGTGGTTATAAGACGGCAGTTGCAGCCATAACTCCATAGTAAATGTAAAGGTACGAGTACAGTAGAATAAAAAAAAAAGATATATTATAGAGAGAGAAAGTAGTCTCAATTTGGATGTGGAATGTTCGATTGTGGGTCGAGATTACCGGGCCAGAAGATCCACTCTGTTTGGGCCAATTCTATCAATGCACAATTTATAAATTTGACACCCCTTATATATTTATTTTATCAATTTGACTCCCCTTATTTATTTATTTTATAAATTTGAATCCCCCCCCCCCTTTTTTTTTTTATTAATTTAACACCTTCTCTACAAGAAACTATAAGGATATTTCAATCCATAAAAAAAGTCATAATAGTCTACTTAGGTTAAAAGGGGCAAAATTGGAAGTTCACTTAGTTTTATTTTTATGATATCATCACTTTCCATCCAAAACTTGGACGGAGGGACGAAAGAGTAAGCAGAGACATCTAACGGGGGAGGTATGAACTATTTTTGACTAGGAGGGGTTGAGTTTGCAATTTCACTGTCTAGGAGGGGTCCAAGTGAAATTAACCATATTTTTAAATATGTAAGATAAATTATTGGGTAAATTACGAAACCCCCCCTGAAGTTAGGCTACATAACGAAAAAAACCCCCATCTATTCATATATTACCAAAAATCCCCTGAGAGTTTGTTTCTATTTTACACCCGGATTTTTTTTATTATTTAAAAGAATAGACTTTACACAATTTCAGATATTTTGTTTTATTTCTCACCTATTTAACCGAAAGTATAATAGATTGTACACATTTTATGTTAAAAAACTCGATCAACAGTTAACGAGAGGGGTATTTTGGTTATTATGGATAGTGGGGGTGTTTTTCGTTATTTAGCCTAAGTTCAGGGAGTTTCCGTAATTTATCCTAAATTATTTATAGACCTCAATATTCAAAAAAAAAATATATATACTAAATAATACGGGGCTTAAAGTTCTTATATCTTTATATAAATCAAAAGAACATTTAAATCCTATTTTTTATTAAATTAAAATAAAATAATACTAATACATGAACTGCACATATAATTTAAAGAGAATTTTTGGATTTTAAAATTATTGAAAAGAAATTATTCATGATAAATTCCTGATTAATTGTTTGTATTCCAAATTTCTGTAATTATCCTAATGATTTTTATTTAAATTTTGGACAAAAATAGAAAATAAAGAAACCAGTAAAGAAAGCAAACAAAACCCCATAACAAAAATAAAAACAAGTAGAAAAGAAACTAAAAAGTGAGCAAATTAAAAAGGACCTCTAACCAAAAAAAATAATTGATCTGAAAGAAAGATTGACAGACTGTCTAATGGCATTGACGTATAGAAACTGTATGCATATTTGTAGTATATGAATAATTAATGAATTTCATGGTGCCCGTGGCCGAGCCAGGATTCTAAGTTCGAGAGGGCTGAATGCATTAAAAAAATTCTAAAGGCGGCCGTTTATGCAATTATACATGAAAATTTTTATATCTCCATATATAAAATAATAGGAATTTAAGAAATGTAAAGCGGGGGCCATGGCCCCCCTTAGCTGTATACCAGCTCCGCCACTGGAATTTTACCTTTACCTAAAGGCACCTCTATTATTTGGATGAAGATGAGAAGTTATGGTAATTTGAACATGATAGCTGATCAACTATCATTTAATTCCTGCTATTATATATACCTCTTCAATATCCCTCAATTTTTTCATAAATAATTTTTAATTTTAATTCATTCTTTATTTTTTATATATATATTTTTTGGGAGAAAATCAATAATGAAGCCCTGGATTGCTGCTTTCTTGTTTGCTATGCTGGTGACGAGTTCCGGTTTCTTCGAACTCACTGCTGCAAGTATTACTCTTGCATTAATTGAATTTTCCGCGACATCTTTTAATTGTTTAATTTATATTTTCCTATGGAATTTTAATTAGTTGTTGTTCATATATAGTATTGAAATTGAAGCCCTTTTCGGAATAAGTATCCATCTGTTTGCGAACCTCTTCAAAAAGTTCGAACTCGAGCTGGAGCTTTTTTTTAGCCCGTTAATTCACGAGTCTAGTGAATTAACCATTTGTAGTGAAATAATAGTCTTTTTTATTACTTGCATCACCATTTATAAAAATCTAACGTTTTTTTTCTTCGTGTTTTGAATTTGAACTTATAAAAGTTCAATGCAGCCCGAAATGTGAAGTGAGGTGCTCTAAAGCTAGCGCGAAGGAAAATTGCCTAAAGTACTGTGGAATCTGCTGCGCGAAATGCCAGTGTGTTCCTTCCGGAACTTACGGGAACAAAGACGAATGCCCTTGCTATAGGGACATGAAAAATTCCAAGGGCAACCCTAAATGCCCTTAAGTTTCGTACCTCTCGTATGTTGTATTTGCTTTTGTCCGACAATTCCACCAAATTGTTTCGAATAATACAGCGATTAACGTCGTGGGCTCTTTTTATTTGAAACTATAATAAAAAAAATATTGTAATAAAAATATTTTAATATTAAACTTCTATATATATATAATCTATTATAAATCATTTGTATTTATGCTTTAAAATTATAGTCTTGAACTTTATTCCTATATTGTAAAAAAATGGAGCATCTTTCCAGCTTGCATCCATAATGCAAAGTTTAGGTACAACAGCAAACTTTGCATGCAAAATACACAAATTATTAAAAAAAAAAAAAATAGAAATGGACAAAATTACTTAGGCCTCGTTTGGTTGGGAGAGATTAGCTATTATTAACTAATAATTGGACTGTGTTTGATAATTGATAATGTCTTTGTGGAGCTTTTTTATTGGACGTTCCAGGATTCAATAATATAATTGGATTTTCATCAGATTGTTTAATCTAATCTTGACTAACCTTATCTTGCCAACCAAACGAGACTTTCAAATAATTAAGATAAGTACTATCCCCAAAACCACCAAAGGTACTTGACAGACTGTATAATATATAGTTTTATATATACATATATCATTTGATATGTATATATCTAGAGGCTTATCCTTGGCTTTTTACACCTACCAAACACACCTCTATTAAATAATGACATTTAGCAAACAATTTGTAGTGTATAAATATGTGAACTCTAACTCCATCATTTGCATCACACTCGTCACTAATCTTCGATTTCCGTTTCGCTAATCTTCTTCGGGTTCCAAAAGTTATCTCGTTTTACTACTTCGATCGAGTCATTAACAATGAAGTGTTGGATCGCTACTTTGTTACTCGTCACACTAATTCTCGGGTCCGCTTTTCTCGAATCAACAGAAGCAACATATCCAAGTAAGGGCTCGACTTTATATAATAATATATAATTCGAGCCCTATCGATTCACTACCTATAACGTAAAATCTTTCGTTTTTTGTCGAAAATTGTGAAGGCTTTTGTGACTCGAAATGTGGCGAGAGGTGCTCGAAGGCTGGACTGAAGAAGAGGTGCATCAAGTATTGCGGTATTTGCTGTGCCGCATGTAACTGTGTGCCATCTGGCACTTACGGGAACAAATCCGAGTGCCCTTGTTATAGGGACAAGTTGAATTCCAAGGGCAAATCCAAGTGCCCTTGATTCTTGATTTTTATATTTAATTTTATCATTTGGGATTTCGTTTTTTTCTCTTCCGAGTTTATTCCTTGTAATGTCGATTTGTGTATGTTTTACTTCTGTCTATGTTAATAAGATGATGTGGGATTTGCTTAAAAACTCGATAACAGGCTATCTTGTTTCGATTACGTGGGACTTAATTTACATTTATCTATCTTTCTTTGCTAGCAAAATAATAGAACCTTTGACATAGCCAGTCATAATATGAATCTTGTCTCCAACCAGAAGTCCGATCAACTATCCTACATAAGCGTCGTTTAGAATTTCACGTAATTCACGAAATCTACGTGTAAACTTTGAACAGCTAACACAATGTATTTGGCCGTAATTCAAACGGTAAAATTTGTTGTGTTCGTGAATAAGAGAATCACACAAACTAAACAATACTATTCAGCGGAAATGACAATGCACATGTTTTCACTCAAATAAGATATTAAGCTCGATAAAAAAAAATAAAACATGTTTGAATAATCACGTGTTTGGCTCGATTCGATTCGGTTTGATTCGTCTAGAGTCCTAAATACACGCGCACAAACACATACCAATTTAGTGAAGCAAATTTCTTAAATAAGTTGGGGGGTTCTGACTTCTGACCTGATGGTTGGCGTCACTTCTCAGTTGCGCATATTATCAAGCGATAATTAGCAATACCCCCTCATCTAGGTAAATGAGTTAAGAAAACCCCCTCCAAAAAATAATTAGAGAAAACCCCCTTACCTAATATCCTACCCAAATATTATTTAATAATTCCCAAACCACCCTTATTATCCCTAACCCATCGCCGTTCTTTTTTTTTTTTTTTCTCGTCTTCTCGTCTTATCTCTTCGGCCGTTCTCTCTTCTTCTTTTCTCGTCTTCCCTCTTCTCGTCTTCTCTTGCCCGCTAAGCAAAATCTAGAACAGAGAAGTTAAAATCGAAAAAGGGGGAAATCTCAGTTCATAAATCGGAAAGACAATGGGGCTGCAATGGATGATTCTGACGTACGTGGTGGCGGCGGAGGCGGCGGTGGCGGTCATCTTGACACTCCCATCGCCCAAGGCTGTTAAATCTCGCATCGTATCTCTCATCTCTTTGATTCTCCAGCCTTCACTTTTCATTATACCCTTCTCTGCTTTTCAGCTCCTGGGTGAGTAATTCGTTCTTCGTCTAAATTTTTGTCGATTCAGAGTGATTTTTGGGGATTTAGTTGTTGCTTTATTTCAGTTAATTTGTAGCTGTTTTCCGGAATTGATTGTCGATTCAGAATTTCAATGTGATTTTGATGGGAGTAAATCAAGGCCCATAAGCAATTAGGGTTTTTTGGTGTAAAAACAGTTAGAATATGGAATGGGGGTGGTGATGTTGTGGTGTGGCGACGACGTGGTGACGATGAAGAACAGATTTAGGGTTTTTTTGGTGGATTGTGGCGGAAGACGGCGCAGAAAAAAATTTCGCGCAGGCAGGACCCTTAATCGACTACGTGTGTTTAATCGACTATGTTCAATAGTCGATTAAGGCTTAATCGACTATGTTCGGTAGTCGATTAAGGTTAACCGACTCCAGTTGTTAATTTTTTTTTTTTTTTTTTTGATTTTTTGTTTATTGATTCCAATGTATAAATCAATTACAATGTTTGTATATTTTTTTTTAAATATAGTTGATTTTGCATTTTTTTTGTAATTATGATTTGTTATTTTTAATAGCTAAAATTTTAATCGACTATGCATTAATAAACCTGATAGATAAAAAAATTAAAAAAACCAAAAAAAAAAAAATTAGAAACAAAATAAAAAATTAAAGATTTTCCTTAATCGACTATGAAGCATAGTCGATTTAAGACTAATCGACTATGCTTCATAGTCGATTAAAAAAACGGAAAAAAAAAAAAAAAAAGAATCACTGGATCGCGTGCCCAGCTGTGATGAGGTGGCGGGCGGGGGTAAAACTGGGAAACACAATGACTGACTTGGATCGTGGGCTTTTCTCAAATGGTCTAAAATATTTTGGACCTCCCTCAATTAAAAAAAAAATAGTGAGGGGTTTTTCTCAAAGAGCACCTATTATCAAACAGTTGCCGCGCATCAAAATAACCAAGTATCCTCCTCCTCTTCTTCTTCTTCTTCTTCTTCAACTGCAGATTCTCATCTTGACGGTGTGAACGTATCACAATGAAGAGTTTGGGATTAATCTCTGGCAGAAAGGGCTTGGAGATTTTGGTGGAGTTCACCCAAATAGCTGACGGAGATCTAGAGAGAGAAAGAGAGACTCCAGTTTTCAGCGTAGCTTCGTGTGTTTCTGCAACTGTGATGTGCGATGGAATTGCAGGAAAAAAATGACATTTTTTTTCTTCTTTTTTGGTGGAGGTAGCCAGTTATGGTACAACAGTTGATGCGTGATGTACCACCTCTATTTTCAGTTAAATATGTCCAGATTACTTATAAATTAAAATATTTATTCATATTTCTAGTTACTACTATACAAATCAAATCACAAGCCCTAGTTTGTAATTGCTGCCCACAAGGTGTTTGTGAAAATGCCAACAAGAACTTCGTCTAGTTTTATTACACAAGAAAACCACTTTTTCCCTTATTTACTCTTACAAGAATAATAATTAATCACACACCAAACACTTAGTCCAGCTACACAAACTTCTTCCCGCCAAGAATTTCAAGAACAGATTGTGCAGTGCAGTAAGCAATCGCCTGAACAGTAACCATCGGATTCACCCCCAAAGCAGTTGGAAAAACACTCGAATCTGCCACAAACAGCCCCTCCACCTCCCAAGTCTCCCCCCTCGGGTCGACCCCCGACCCCCCCGAATCCACCCCCATCCTACAACTCCCCATCTGATGCGCCGAAGCGATCGGCGTCGAAAGATTCCTCAACGGCCTCATACTCTCCCTCTCCACGAACCCCTCGAACTCCTCACGACTCGCCCCCTTCACTTTCAACACGCCCCCGTCCCTATGGTGGGTCCCGATTTCCTCCGCCCCCGCCGCCGCCAATATTCTCAAAACCCTCTCGATCCCTTCCCTCAGATTCTCTCGATCCAAATCGTCCAATTTGTAGCTTATGTCGCTCGGCGATGCTATCGTTCCCCTCCCTTTATCCCTAGCCAACGCAAACACGTGGGCCGTCCTCGAATACTTAACCATCCTGTCTTTAAAATCTTTCCCCGAAACCCACGGCATCACCGCGGAGAACAATCCGGGGTGCAACGAAGGCGTCTGTATCACCGCACCGTAACCGGACGTTTCAAAATTCGAGACAACTTTCGACATTGCCGTCATGATTCCGCCTTTGTGGCTCCTCTTCTCCGTCTCCGGCCACGAATCTTCCGGGAAGTAGCCCCATGCCATTACCACGGGATGCACATGCAAATTTTTTCCGATGTTTTTATTCTTCAATCCGCTTTTTTTAAGTAGTTGAGGTGTGCACATTGCACCGCAAGCTGTCACCGTCACTTTAGCCTCCACAATCCCAATTTCTTGTCCTCCTTCTTCGTTTCGGAATGCGAATGCAACCCCCGTAGCCATTTTTCTCCCGTTGACCGTTTTGCCCTCGGTGGTGATCACTTTTAGGGCTTCGCATTCCGATAGAATCGCCCCGTTTTTCGATTCCACAAGATCCACTAACCACGTCTCTAACGTTCCCTTCTTTCTCCCGTCTTTGCAACCCATGCAACACCAACCGCAGTAGTGGTCCGATGGGGCGTTGCGCGGAATATTCCCGACTTGATACCCTAAGCCCTCGCACCCTTTTCTCAAAACCATGTTGTTGAAACCCTCGTCGTCGAATTCCGATTGTACCCCCATCTTCTCGCACACGACATCGAGGGCGTTTTCGTAATTTTTTGATCCGAATAGTTCGAGTCCGTGCTTTTCGCTCCATTCTTTCGTGACATGAGATGGGGTCCGGAACGAGGCGGACCAATTAACCGCGGACCCTCCCCCGACGGTGGACCCCGCGAGAAACAATACGTCCATATTATCGGATGCTACGATCCCGTTTCCTAGGTACATTTGATCCAACGCTTCCCCTTCGAGTAGTGAGAGATTGCTTCTTGCTAGATAGCTTCCCTTTTCGAGCACGACCACTTTGTGTCCGGCTTTCGCGAGAACTCCCGCCACAACTCCGCCGCCGGAGCCGGAGCCAACAATCACCGCGTCGCACTTGAGCACGAACGATGGATTTAATAAAGATCCAACGCTCGTGTTTTTTTCCGAGTAGGGTTTCGAGACGACGGCGGTGGTGAATCCCGAGTCTCGGAGTTTGCGTAGGGATTTTTCGATTGGTTGGTGGCTGAAATTGATGATCCCTTTGTGTAAGGGTCCGAATAAATCTTCTTCTATACTTTTATGATCATTTTCTTCCTTTTGTTCACATTCTTGATATTGTGGTTTTCGGGTCTTGAAATCCGGGTCCGGGCCACAGTAGCCAATTGCTTTCCAGGAAATGTTGTCTTCTTTCTCATCCACCTGTCATGCAAATTAAATGGAATAATTTATATATATAAATCTAACTATATATATCAAATATGAAAATAACTTGTTATTTGTAAAATTAAATTATATCTGGAGATTCTCATAAATAAATTATAATATATAGTAAATCTATATGAATATGTTAAAGAAATATATAGATATTAATAAACAAAAAAAAATCTTATGAAAACAGTGATAAGATATAAGAACACAAAAAAAAAAAAAGAAGATATTCGAGTAATTCTAACGGAATAAAAAAAATATAATTTTAAACATTGAATTTTCTCGGGTGAAACGTATATGTTTCGTAGATACTAAACCGAGTACAACATTCGCCCGTAAAATTTATTTTTTCTTAGTGACTTAGGATATATTTTACATTTACGTCAAATATTTTACGTAACTTGCGTTAAATAACGACCATTGTATGCACAGATAGCGTACATACATCACCAGATATTTTCGAAGTGTTCGTTGTATCGAAATGATTCGTATATTGGACCATGCACATGTGTAATTAAAAGAGTGAAAATAAAAAAAGTATATAAAAGTTAGGTTCTTAAATACAAAGTAGGGTAAGGCAGCTCAAATAGAGTCTCAAGTTGTGCTTCACTACTGTCAACTTGCCTGCATTCAATTTGGTTAGTTCTGCCGGACCACACCAACTTAGGTATATACATTGTCACACAAATAATGAATATATATGTATATATATATTTAATTAATTAAGCTCAGTAAATAAAAAATAATAAAATTAAATAAATTGTAGGGTTTTCGGAATTTATAATAAGATTAATTTGGATGGATTGGCCAGTTGTTACTAGTTTTGTCCGATATGCGATATGCGACTCTTATCGGTGCTGAAATATTTGTCGCTCTCGTATTAAAAAAGCTAATAAATATAGAAAAACGAAACATAGAATGTGACTAATATAGATTTTTCATATTTTTTTTTGTACTAATTTTGTTTCAACTAGTTTTAGATTAAGAGTGAATAAAATGGCGAAATTGAGAAAACTGCAATTAATTAGTATTCTAAAGTCACAAATAATTTGTAACTAAGATATATTCACATGAGATAATAATATATGACAAAACCCTAAGTTTAAAATGAAAATATTATTTCTTCAAACATTATTTATTTGTGCTAGCTGGCAATCTAATTATAACATAAAATCAATATTTAAAGACACTTTTTTTTTTCTTTTTCAACCACATTTAATATCCAAGAATTTGGAAATTACTTTACGAGATTTTATTTCAAGGAATTAAATATATTTGAGTTTTATTTCAGTGAATTATATATAGGGTTGTGCGTTGGTTGGTTTGGTTAAAAACCAGCCATAAAACCAACTCAACCCATCCAACCAACTTTGGTAAATATTGGAAACCGTTATCGACCCAATTTACATGGGTTGGGTAATGGTTGAAAACCAATTTAATGGGTTGGTTGGTGGTTTGGTTGATGGGTCATCCATCTAAATATTTTTTAATTTTTTTTAAATATTTTATCACTTGTTACAACGCTATATCTTTTATAAATTAAATGGGACTAGTTCAATAATATTTAAATAAAAAATCCAAAACATTACGGGCATATATATTGCAATTAAAAATAAATACCTCAACAAATAATAATCGTCCAAATATTTAGACTATATGTCTTAAAATTAAAATAGTTCAAATTAGATACTTAGGTTAGATTTATTGCTTTTAGGATTTTGGTCAATATTAAACAACTTAATAAATGTGATATAAAATAGAAATTTGAAATTAATAATGTTAAATATTTTAATTAAAATTAATAAATAATAAACGAATGAATAAAGTTGGTTGGCCGATATTAACCGACTAACCAACTTTTTAGCATATTAGAAACCATTATCGACCCAACTATACATGGGTTGGTTGACATTATCGACCCAACTTAAATGGGTCGGTTGATGGTTGATTAACCATCACAAATTGTGGGTCGAAAATGGGTTGGTTGGTGGTTAAAACCGATCCGTGCACAGCCCTAATTATATATATTACTTTGACCTCTTCCTTTCTTAATTTTTTCAAGATTTAAAACAATATAAAAAATAAATTAAAGATCATATTTTTATATATATTATGGAAAGTAGAAACTATTGATTTCAAATCCACACAAAAAAGCATCATCCAGTTCATGAAGCATGTTAGCATTGAATGTTTTTTCTTGGAAATTAATTAGACAGCTCTGATTAAATTAGACATGCAGAAACACACACACACACACACACACATATATATATATATATATATATATATATATATATATATATATATATATATATATATATATATATATATAATTACCTCGGTTTATAATTTAGTTTCCGCCTTTTATTATGGTCTCATAAATGTTACACCATACTATTATATGGTCCGGATGTATTTCACGTGGTGTATACGAGACCAAAATAAAAGGCGGAAACTAAATTATAAACCGAGGTAATCAAAGTAAAGTAAAAAAAAAAAAAAAATTGAATTAGTAATAAATAAATTACCTGAGTGAAGAATGTGAAAAGAATGAAGATTTTGAGGGCAGAGAAGAGAATTCTCAAGAGAGAGAAACAGCTGTTGGACCAAGAGAGAAGTATTTCCTCTCTCTTTAAAGATTCAACTCTCGAAAATCTCTGCAGATACGGAAAATCATCGGACAAACTCTTTCTCCCGCACAGTATGAACGTTCCGATCCACGTCGAAAGCATCTTTACAGCCACTTTCGCTAGCAAAATCTTCGGATGCTTCACTTTCTCTGCTATAAATTCAGCCACCTGCATGCCAACAAAAAAAAAAAAAATTAATTACAAAACCCCCCCTAATTTTATATTAAATTACAAAAACCACCTCCACTTATTCGTAATTGCCAAAACACCCCCTGAAGTTTGTTTCCGTCTTAGTGTGACTTTTCACGTAGTTTTTTTTTATTTTACTCCAGGGAATAGACTTTTAACATAAGGTATAATAGATTGTACACATTTTATGTTAAAAAACTCGATCAACAATTAATCAGATACGTGGGGGTGTTTTTGTAATTTACCGTTAATTAAAAAAGACAAAAAATAAATTAGGGGCTTACGAGGGGTGGAGTTTCAGACATGGAAGCTGAGGTTTGATAGAAATTAGCGACGGATTGAGGAAGGTGAGGATCGTGATCAGAAACGTCAATGGCGGGCAAAAAAGTGTCGCATAAAGCAGTCAGCGCCTCCATATCGCGTTTTGAAAACGCGTTTTTGTAAGTCGTTTTGTTACTCTTCGCCATCTTTCCGTTTTTCTCTCTCTTGTATTTATACAGAGGGAGATTTGGAGAAGAAGGGAGAGAGATACGCAGAGGAGAGAGAGAGAGAGAGATTTGGAGAGAGAGAGAGAGAGTTCTCAACGGATATTATTATTATTATTATTACCCAGTATATATAGATTTGCCAAACTCTGTTTGGCCGGTTTTGAAATTTTGCCAACTTGTCTTTAGAAAAAATATCTTTTTTTTTTCTAAAATGAAATAAAAATAAATCTCCTAAATTAAAATGCCAAAACTTTTTTCTTTAATATTGTATTTGAAAATTAATAGGGAGAAAAACAGTTGAGATATAAATTTCACTACCATGAATACAAATTCATTGAACTTGTATTTGTTAAACCTATGTAAATTAATACAGTCGGGACTTGCAAAATTATATTAATTTAGCGAAGTATAAAATTATCGAATTAATAGCTTGATATGTTTTCAACGAGTTGGGATTGAGAGAAATTATTATTTAGGTGGGGTTATTAATTATTATTGTAGGTGGGTAAATTATTATTTAATTCGTTTTTTGAAAAGGAAAAATAATAATAGTTCTAAAATTTCAACTTGTTTCAGACTTATAGCAATGTGATTTTTTTTTTCCCGAAATCCTTCTGCACAAATGCATTGTTGGATTATTAATTATGATAAGTAAGCATAACGTAAGTAATAATCATAAAGTTTAACACAAAAAAATCAAATTTAAAGTGAAATATTCAATTAAATGAGAGAGCTACGTACACCCGCCAAAAAAATAAATGGCATTCATGAATTAATGAAGAAAAAAAGCAATATGGGTGGTTTCCCATTTTTGTTGGTTGTATTTGATTAACTTAATAGGAGAGGATTCGGGTAGGTGCTACTAATTTAATGAAATAATAATATTTAATAGAGGACTTTAATTTCAGTATCGGGTTTGAAAAAATGTGAATCTTGCCAACTGAACGTGGTACTAGCCCCTATAACCTTTTAGCGGTAGCCAGGGGCGGACCGCGGACTCAAGGTATGCCTTGGGGAGGCCCCGACCTTGCAGGATTTTTTTTTTTTCCATTTTTTTATTATTTTTTTAATATTTTATGTTATTTATCTATTAATGTATACACTTTAGCTCCTCAAAGTTAAAATTTTGTACCATTTTAGCTCAAAAAATATTCTAGCCCCCCATCTAATACCCCTGAGTCTGCCCTCGGCGGTAGCCAAACAAGCCCTTAGTGTTAAGACAGTGGACACGATTTATTTTATGCTATATCGGTTGAAATATAGCAGGTAGATTTTAACCATTCATAATATATACACAAACACACACACACATTGCTATATATAGATGAACAATAAAATTTGTATCTGGTGTAAAATTCATCGAGTATGGTATAGAAATAACCGAATGGACACTAAGGCATTTAATTTTGTTTCTTGAAATGAACGTTTGCCTACAAATACCAACTTTTTTCCCATTCTGCATTCCTATCCACCTAACCTCAATTAGTAATTGCCACATTAAAAAAAATTAATAAAAATAAAAATAAAAATAAAAAAGCCAATCAATTAGTTCCTAAAATAGCTAATTTGAAATAAAGGGAGAAATTTGCATAGCAGTTTCTATCACCACGTATGCCAGATATACATCAGTTCCTTAGAATTTTTAATAATTACTTACTTACTAATTAAATGATATTATTTATTTTAGGGTAAATTACAAACACCCTCCTGAGGTATGGTCGAACTACAAAAACGCCCCTCCTGTTTGGATAATTACAACCACCCCCTCAACTCCTCAAATTTAGTGGAATCTTCGAGATTATATGGAATATTATCACTTTTGTACCCGTTTTATCCCATTCAAACTCTACATTATGAAGCAAGATGATCATAATATGTGATTTTTAGCTTGTATATATCAGTTTGTGGTGCATCGAAAATTGTAATTTTTACACAAAAATAGTACAAACTAGAGCACATTTCACGGAATCTAGATGACTATGTTGAATTTGGCACCATAAAGGTGGAGGTGTAAGAAAAAATCATAGTTGAGGGGGGTAGATGTAATTATCCAAACAAGAGGGGGGGTTTTGTAATTTGACCATACCTCAGGGGGTGTTTGTAATTTATCCTTTATTTTAAAATAAATTTCGTCACCAAAACAACAATCTAGTGATGTTACATGTCTTTGTTTGATATACTCTATTTGTTTTATAATAACTATCTCTTTTTTAAAATATTTTTTTCCATATTATTTGTCACTTTAAACTTGCAGTACTGGATTAAATACATTTTTCATGTTTTAATCTTATTAATTCAACTCTTGGTATTAATTCTCTTTTGTTTCATCATTAACTGATCAAGATTATTTTAAGTCTTTCTAATTTATTTTTCATAAAATCAAGACACATTTATTGAAATTCTAAATACTCGTGCAAAGCTAAAAACGACACTTAACAAAGACCGCATGGAATAATACTGTATTAGCATTTGGCAACTGTTTAGTATTTATTCTTCATTTGCTTAAGCATGCACTTAAATAAAAAAAAAATCTACCATTTATTACACACTAATTAATGTGGTCCAATACATATCAGATTTAAATTAATATAGCTTCTACAAAATTCATAATTAAGGGGGAATTAGACCCTTATGTGTAGTCAATAATTCACTAAACCATGATCATTTTAACTTGGAAGTTTTTACATACATTATTTGTATAATTATGTTTATACAATCAAAAAAAAAATCGAGGCGATGCCCCCTCGTATACTTTTAGTCCATCATTTTATATTAAGTGTTATTTATATATTTTTTTATTATACTCGATTACTAAGACCCTTAACACCAATCTTAGATTCGCCACTGATTCCAACTTTTATTTATGGGCAAATTACCAAACCCCCCTGAGGTAAGTTTGAATAACGGAAATTCCCCCCATGTTCTCGTAATTACGTCAACCCCCTGAGGTATGCAGACATCTTACAAATCGCTCTAACGGTGTTAAACTCAATAGAATCTTTTTTATTCTCCTGAATATTCCTCCAATAATACCAATTTTGCCCTTGTACACGAAATTACCCTTAGGGGGTAATTGTAAGCATTTTATTTAATGCTTACAATTTTGGTTGGCTTCCTGATGATGAAACCATCCTTGACCAACCTCCTAATGTTATGTCCTGTATCCAAAATAAATAATATATAACATAAATAATCATCTCACATCAACACAATTCAGATTATTGGAGTATGCCTATTTGAACAAGGCAAATAAAACTGTCAATAGATGGTGAGATTATTTACCTTCAAAGTTATAAAATCAATTTCCAACCATATTAAGAAATCTACGTGAAATGAAACCTAGGTGCAATAATCAGTGTAAACAGAATAGGCTGACTTTGTATTTTAGATATACTGCACCACAGCTCATTCCCAAAAGAATCGAAATCCCTTCTAGTAAAAGCTCCTGAAAATAAATTCTCTCTCTCTCTCCAATTTAATATGGGTAATTGTAAGCATTTTATTTAGTGAGGGAACTGCCAGTAGCATAATCGTCCCGAACACCACCCATCTCATCCCTCTAACCAGATACCAACTCCTCTTTAGCGGCGCGTAGGTGATTTCTACGGGTTCGCCGTAGAAACCGTGGATGGCGGTGTGGGTGATGGACGCGCCGCCGCAAAGGCCGAAGATGACTGCGAAAAGGAGGTAAATAAATTGGATAATAAATTGAGAATGAACTGAATTTGAATTATTATTTATTTATTTATTTTTTTTTTTTTTAATAATAATATGAATTATTATTAATATTATTATAATTGGGCGGCGGGAAAAGGAAAGGGTAAACGCCGCTGGAAAATGGAGATCGGGAGGAGGAAGAGAATTGAGAGGGCGGAGAAATGGCGGGGCTGGGCGCTGATCACGCTGAATTATTGGAATTTTCAGCTTTTTTCTTTTATTTTTTAACATATTTAACGTGGGGGGATTTTCGTTATTTAGACTTACCTCAAGGGGGTTTTTGGTAATTTGCCCTATTTTTTAACATATTTAACAGAAGGATATAATAGACATTTCACGTTTTCGGTTAAAAAAATTCGGTCAACCTGTAGGGGGGTTTTCGTAATTACGAAAACGTCGGGGGGATTTTCATTATTTAGGCTTATTTCAGGGGGTTTTTGGTAATTTGCCCTTTATTTATTCATTGATGGGTATTATTGTAAGTTCATATTTTATGTAGCATCTTTGTTGCTTCATTACAACGTTCTTGAGGCCCATACTTATAATTGGGCCCTACTTTGGCCCATTCCGATTATCAGATCTTTAACAAAGAAGCTTATCTGCATTAGTATATAGTTCGAGGTCGAACCCAAACTCATTTTGAATTTCTTTTTTAATTTATTTAATAGTAAGAAAATTATTTATATTATAATAAAAGAAGTTTGCGGCTATATGCAAGACTAAAACCACTTGTGCAAGATCAAATTAAAAATTTCAATGTATAAATACTATAATACCCTTACTTGTCAAGACCAAAAATTCAAAAACACAAAAAACCCTATCACAAGACCAGCTCTCATCTTCTCTATCTTCCAAAAACCACAAGACCTTTCTCCTTCCTCCTCCATAAACCCACAAAACCTAAACATTCAAAATCATCAAAACTCAACAATCTTACAAAGATGACAAGTATGGAGTCAGAAGACATCAAAATAGAAGATTCCACGGTGGAAGAACCCAAAATTGTATGCATTTATGTGTTTTTTAACTAGAATATCGTTTTTTCCAAAAAAAAAACCCCGCGCAAACAAATTCGACATGTACAGATCCGACATGTAAAGGTCGAATTTTATGGGTAAAAATCGACATTTAGATGTCGATTTTGAGGTATCCAATTCGACATTTGGCAATGTCGAATTTGTGCTATAAATTCGACATGTCAATGTCGATTTATGCCTATAAAATTCGATGCTTAAGTGGCGATTTGTAGCATAGTTTTTCGACACTTTGATGTCGATTTTTACCGGTTTCAAATTTAATTTGTTTTTCCTTTTTTTTGTAAGGA